CATTAATATTTAAGGTTAGTGCAATCATCACAACATCACAATAAGCCAGCAGGAGCTGTAAAGGTTAGAGTTACAATAAGGGAATGGCAGCTGGTAAATTATAGAGTAGCGGGCGGCAACACACGACATAGTCGGGTGTTGTCGCCAGGGCTAGCTTAATAAAAAGAAGGTTGCAATGAGGGAATGAATGATACCGGGCGGCAACACACGACGTAGTCGGGTGTTGTCGCCAGGGCTAGCTTGAAAGATGGGTGCAATCCGAACATAATCCTCCTTCTTCTATATGTCTTTCTGCCGAGGTATCGCAGCTCCCGCTGACTTATTTCTTTCGGAAACCCGAGCGAGGCCGTGGCATTCGGAACCTTTAGAAAAGGATCTTTGGCAGGTTCCAGACTTTGGAAAGGGAAAGGGGAGAAGAGAAAAAGGGTCCCCTTTTCCGGAGCGATTTGGGAATGGGGAAACAAGACTGACAGCTGAACAGAGACGATGACACAATCTTGGTAACAATCAAATAGTTGACGGCGGCGCTTCCCACATGAGCCAAAGGAGACTACTAGCACCTTGTGTCATCTGCAACAATGCCAAGCTTGGGTTACCCCAAGCTTCGGATCTCCGAGCTGAACGAGAATTCCACTCGATATGATCATCTCTTGGCCGCCCCCTCCGACGACGAATTGGTCTCCATGTGGACCGGGTATGCCATTGCCTTTTCCATCTTTGCGACCTTCAACGCCATTGTGTTTCTTGCCATTCTATTGAACAAGAAAGCCCGGCAGAATGGCTTTAATCAATATCTGCTTGCCATTATGCTTCCTGATATCACCTACACGGGATTCTGTGCCCTTGAGACCGTCGCCCTTGTGATCAGGGGAGCCTATTATGGCGCTTGGTGCCGCATCCATGGATTCATTGTGATCTTTTTCATTGTGTCCAACTTTTATCTCAATGCCGTGGTGGCTCATGAAGTCAAGATATTGCTTCAATCTTCGCACAAGCGACAGAGATATTTCCCTCCCACGCCCCAACGAATCTGCCTTTTTGTTAGTGGTACCTATCTCTTTGCCTGCTTGTTGGCTACCGTTGGCATACTGACAACCGAAATTGACTCGTTTCAGGGAGTCGCCTGCATGCCCTTACCCGGGGACCAAACCAGGTCCACAATTGCCTATTTTATCCTCATGCCCATTGTGTTTCTCCCCATACTCTACGTCGGCTGGGTGGCACTTGTCATTACACGAGGAGGTCTGCTCCCCCAAAGTGGCCGCACACGAGAAATTGCCTTGTTCTTTTTCCGAATCTTTTTGGTCCTGGTGATCATGTGGCTTCCTACCTTGATTAGTCTCATGGTGGGAATAGCAAGTCACTGGGTATTCTACTTTGTGGGGATTTGGGCACATTTGACTGGAAGTGTGACGTCCATCTTTAGCCTCTGCAAGTCGGACATTCGCCAGGCCACCATGGCCCTGCTCTGTTGCCAAGTCCGACAAGTCAATGGCGAGTTTGACAATTCCATGAATGGAACTTCGAGGCGACATAGAATCAGCCAAGACCACAATGTTTTCCACAATAACCGATGTAGCTCTGGCTCGACAAGCAAAAGGTGGTCTTCTTTATGGCTTCGATTCTCTCGGAAGGCAACATTACCAGAAGAAGAACCGACAATTGACAATGGCGAGGGAGTGGGAACTCTGGAAGATGGAGCCATGGAAGTGAAAATCTGCAATGGGAATGATGCCGATGGTGAAGACGGTAATGCTACAAAGTCAGAGCGGGTAGGCAGCGGGTGATGGCAAGGATAGAACCTCTTGGTCAGCAGAAAGATGACATTACTAGGCGTGTTTTGTGCGCATGGTGCGGATGAAAGCATATCATGCCAATGTGTTTGAAAGCACCACCGGCAACCGCGAGGAGAGGGAGGTATGCGTCAATATTCATCTATCTGTTCGGGGGTAATGGACATCAAGCCGCACTCCAAGATCTGTACTGTACTGTTCGGATACAGTAGCTGCAACGATGCTTCCCCACAATGAAGTCTGCACTGGCATCATGTGGAGCCTCTGGCGTGGCTCGAGTTGATTTTCTACTATCCTGCCAACATCCACGGTCGGAATGTTGCGCATTATGAGAGACAACATCATGTGGAGACTCGTAGCAAGGACTGATGTTTTGCATTTGGACCAGAGACGGGGGCGAACAGCAGTGAGTTGCCTTTTGGGATGGGGTGCCCCACGATCGAAAAGTGCCAAATGGTTCCTGGTCCAATGATTCGATTCGATTCATTCCCAGCGCGTTGCAAGGGCCAGGAGACAATACTGCGGTAATGGGCAAGGGATACAAAGGATGTCTATCCTGGCTTCTAAATGGATTCGATTCGATTCATTCGATTGCAATTCAATCCTATTCCACTCATATAGGTCCTGTGATGAAATCAAGCTAGTATGTACATGCGGTACTAAACTACAACGTACAAGCCACAGCCCACCGGGGACAGTGTCAATTGTAGTTTTGTAAAGATTCGATTCCAAAGTGTCGCCCTGGTCACTTGACGGCATTTCATTCATATGTATGTGATGGCAGACGAACCAAGATCCCATGGAAGCACGACGAGAAAGCCATGAATGAATTGTTGCTTGTTCCTGTTTCTGGTTCTGTACGCATCTCGGATTCTCTCCATCTCTCTCTCGAACTCTCCCTCTATTGCTCTGACAGCCAAGAGCAAGCAAGCATAATCCTACTCTTCCTCGTCATCAATGTTCCATCCAATGCTGTACTCCTGATTGTTGTTGTTGACCTTATTATGATAACTTGTATCTTCTTCTTCGTCTCGTTCTTCGGTCCATGTCGTCGGAACGCGGACGTTCGAATGAGAATTGGCCGGCGGAAGGAGCACCCGTGGCATGTCAAAAAAGGGTGCCGTCGACATGGATTGATAGGGTTGTGCCGAAAGGGGCATACTCGTGGAAACTTCTTCGGGTGGCAGTCGGGACACCAAGATGTAATGCATGAGTTGCATTGTTGGAGCAGTACTAGTACTGGCTCCATGACGGGCATGATGTCGTCGTCGTGTTTTGGTCACGACTTTATGTTGTTGCAAGGAAAACGTGACACCATAGTAGGATTGGTATTTTGCCGTGTAGTCCTTGCAGACTTGGGACACATGATCGGGAAATGTGGACGACACATGCACGCCGGAGAGTACCACAATGAAGGTGGAAAGCAATGTCAAAAAGAGGCAAATGTCCGGCCAAATGTACTGCCAAAAGACCGAATCACTACTGCCGTCGTCGTGAGTTCTAGTAGTAGTATTGCGATGGTCGCTGACAATCAGGAGTGTCTCATTATTGTGATGGGCTTCTTGTTCTTGTTGTTGTTGTTGCAGCATCAGTAATAGTGTAGAAGACCACAACCAGACCAACCAAGACAGGAGCGTCACACTGAGCGAGAGCACCACGGGCCATGATTGAAAGCACCGGTACCAATGACGCGACCAACTCATGGCGTCTTGGACGTCGTCCAAAAAGTCCTTCCATTCCAATTCCGTCAAGACGCGATTCCGATGCAACGGTCGTTCGTCTCGTAACACCGACGGCATGGTCCGATCCAAAATGGTACCGCCCATGACCAAGTGAATTTGGGCCGTCATCATGGCAGAAGAAGAAGAGAAACTACCCGTAGAGTGCATTATGATATGTGTTGTTGTTTGTATTGCTGTATGTATGTATTGGAAACTGTAATGTAGCAGTGGATTTGGTCAGAGCAGTTGGTGATGAGGTGACGGATAGATGATACCTTGACTTGGATGAAAATTCGGAACTTGGATGCGATGTCTAAGTGAAAGATCCAGAAGATGTGTGCGTACCATGGTACATGTACCAGGGTACGTACCAGCACCGGTACCCTTGCATACGGGAGGACTTTGAGAGATGCTCTGTACCGGTACCACTGTACTTCGCAGGTGTGGGTGGGCTTGTGTTTGAACCTAACGAAAGCTAAGAGAATGATCAATCGAATCAGACCATAAAAACGAGAGCCTATTCAATGGAGTTTGCAACAGCGGAAGCAAGGCAGGATACCGTACGACAGGACCCTTTGCTTTTACCAGTGACCATTACGGGTCAGCCAACAAGGATTGGTTCAACATCTTATCATCACAGATTCTCTGGTTTACCTCATGAATATAGCAGGCACACATTCCACGATACTGATGACTGTCTAGCCAGCCTTATTCACAGCCGGCGTCGATGCAGCATCACATCCTTCCAGTGCCAACTTTATATTCCGGAACTGAAAAAGGAAAGGAATTAGAAATGCTGATTCGCACGAATGGGGGCTACCCGGGCAACTGTTGAGGACGGTGGTCTCTCCAGGGCAGACTTGACAATGATAAGCTTCACATCCATTAATGTTGCAGGAAACAACGTCTTTTAGGCCCACATCCAATACAAAAGACTCATTATAGGGTGGTGCGCTGGTACCAATGTCCTCAATGAGTTGATCTGTAAACTGGACCCGTTCTGGAAGGTAGTAGGCGGTGCCTTCTTGCCTTTTAAATGTCATGTGCTCAGTGTTGACAAGCAGTTCCACCTCGTCATAGGTATACTGTGCATCACAGTCCAAAGCCACATGATCTTGAGTGATTTCGGTGCAGCTGCAGTTGAATGGTTCCACTACTTGGCCACCGTCCTCCGCAAGGAAATTGCTCAAAGAGTCAGTAATGGTTTCCTCAATAGATGCCTGGTCGGCACAAAAGTTCTCGACGGTCTGACAGGTAGAATCCTCCGCTTCATCCAACTCTTGGTAGGGGACGATGGTAATCCCATCGTCCAGGATTATCTGATGGATGAAGAGTGCATTGGCCCCCTCTTCGCAAGTCGCTTCATTATAGCAGTTAGACCAGGAAATCGATTGTCCTCCGGGACAGACTTGACAGTCAAAGGCATCTTCGCAAAAGGCATCATATGCTTCACAACTGGCAATTTCGAGTGACGAATTCGAGAAGACAAAGGATTCCCCTCCTAATTCGTATTCATCTCCGTTGATTCCCTCCCGCCAAAAGCCTCTCGTAGGTACAAACACGGTTTCATTTCCTTCTTGCTGCGCTTCAAAGGTCATTTGTTCGATGTTGGCTCTGGGCGTCTCCCATAGAAGTTCTTCCGCTGTCAAGTTTTTATCACCAAGGTATAAAAACAAGAGACCACATTCCACTGTGAATATGGAAGTGGTTAGTTCGGTACAACGACATGAGTACGTGCCGGTGGGAGTGAGAATATCGACATCCCCGACTTCCCAAAAGTCCAAATACATGGAGGTCATTTCCATCTCGACGGGCAGTGCTGTTGCCGCAAAAGTCGTTCACCGAAAGCGTCTCCTCGAGTCGACGGGGCCTACTAGTACTAGGAGCAGTCTTCTGTCTTTGGTTGCCATGATAGCGTCCATGTGCCCATGCCGCATGCTGGGCGGTCAAGAGAAGAAGCAAACAACAGATAGCTCTCATCTTTTCTTTCCCTTTCTTTCCCAACTTGGAGTGACTTTTCAGCAGCAAAGAACAAAATTAATGCCAAAGATCTTGGTATTTTAAGTCAGCGGGAGCTGCGATACCTCGGCAGAAAGACAGATAGAAGAAGGAGGATCATGTTCGAGATTGCACCCATCTTTGAAGCCAGCCCTGGCGACAACACCCGACTACGTCGTGTGTTGCCGCCCGGTATCATTCATTCCCTCATTGCAACCTTTTTTATTAAGCTAGCCCTGGCGACAACACCCGACTACGTCGTGTGTTGCCGCCCGCTACTCTATAATTTACCAGCTGCCATTCCCTTATTGTAACTCTAACCTTTACAACTCCTGCTGGCTTATTGTGCTGTTGTGCTGATTGCACTAACCTTAATTATTAATGATTTATTCCTACCCCTAACTTGTATTGAACCATCAATGTTCAGTTTTGTTGGCTTATGACTATCTCTATCCTTATACTTTGGCTTCACCGGAATAGGAAATAGGAAATAGGAAATAGAAAATAGGAAATAGGAAATAGGAAATAGGAAATAGCATTAAAGGGGTTGAGAACTCAGGCAGTTTACCTGCCGAGGTTAAAATACATCGTAGCCTTTTTTGCTGTGACTTTATGAAAATGATGTACCGACAGTCATGCATCCACGAGAGACTGTCACTGACAGCTGATTTTCTGGAGAGAAAATTCGGAACTGTCATCAAAGTCAAAGTGAGAAGATCCAGATGCTGTGTGCGTCCAACTATGTTTTGGCAAAGGAAAAGTCGAAGAGGGCCGTTGTACCGTACAGTACAGTCGCAAACGACTGCTCTGCGATCTTGCATCCTGCCCTCAGAGGAAGACCCACCCGTGGTCCCTCTACCCCATAGCAACCTGCAGTTTCCGTATCATCCCATCCTCATGCGCGGGGCTTACAGAAGCCGAGGAAAAGGTTTCTTGCCTTTTTTGTGTGCTGCTTCAATCATCTGCCAATCGGCTGCGTTTCTGGTACAGCCTCCATCCGCCTTGTGGAGTACCCTAGTAGAGCACCGCCATCCCAAAACAAATCTCCACAAGTTGCGTTTGTCCGAGCCTCAACCGTTCGCCAGCAATGACACGCCCGGTGGTTTCCCCATGGCCATTTGGGATCATGTTAGCAAGATACGAGGTGAATATTACTACAGCATTGCGGGTGACATCAAGGCTCGAACCTGTGCGGAGTTGGATATTCTGCACACTTTGGCAGCCATTCAGAACAAGCCAGACTGGTGGACCAAGGTGTCCAATACAGAAATTACAAATCACTGGCGCAATGAAGTCGTGACTTCCTTGGAAGAAATACAGGAAATGGAAGACCGTCAACCCGATCTTGACAACTACAATCAGCAACTCTTCAACTATGCCCTGGCGGAGGCTCAGTGGAAAGCCAGACAGATAATTCAAAAAGGACAACAGCAATCCAGTGTCCCTGCGGCCGTTGATGGAGTATTCTGTCGACAATCTGTCAATGGTGGGTTACTCCGGACTCTCAATCAACACATTGCCACTTTGCGGAGTCGTCCTGCCATTGGATCCGATCGGGAAGATCGTCATCCAGGAACCCCACAAATGGTGGATCTAATCCATCCATCTTTGTACTGCTATGAACAAGGTACAACCTTGGTTCTTGAAGGAGTGGGATCAGAAGCAGTCTGCCAACCTGACAATTGGGACAAGTTCCTTGGGGCAGGCACAGTCAAAGAAGAGAAGCGACTAACACTGCACGTCCATAGCGATGCCATATCCAACGCTGGGCTGCAGTGGCTCCCGGCTGAATTTCATGTCAATATGGAGGGGACAGAATGTAAGATTGCAAGCTACATCAATTCACTACATCCTGTTGAGGATGCTAGCATGTATTCTTCAATCTCGGAGCTCTTTCTGGAGGCATTGCCATTGTTGGAGGATACTCTCACACAATCATTGGAGGACAAGTCCAATCCAAAACCTCTGCGTGTTGAGGTCCCTAATGAAATGGACTGGTGGGAAAAACCATCAGAGGAAGGGTTTCGACCAAGAAGAGAAGATGAGGAAGAATACGTCTACCAGGATGAGTGCTGGGAATGGCAGATGGAGAACCGAAAGTTCCTGTTTCCCACTTTGGGCAACTTTGAGCCGCCAGAGCCACCAACAGAGAACAACCACATTTCCTTGCATGACCGCCCCTTGCAAGTCATTGCCAAGATTGCTTCTCTGGAACTAGAACCAGGGGAGTCATATTCTGGAGGAACTTGGCATCTGGAGGGTGCACTGGATGAGCGAATTGTTGCAACAGCTTGCTGCTACTTGGAATCCACGAATGTTTCTGGTGGAGATTTGGCATTCCGTGTTGCCGTGGAAGAACCTGACTATGAGCAGGATGATGACAAGGGAGTCAAACTCATGTACGGTCTGAACTGCGACCAACCTTTGGTTCAGGTGATTGGAACATGCTCCACTCCAGCTGGGCGCATTTTGGCTTGGCCCAATACGCTGCAGCATTGTGTAGGCCCTGTGGATCTGGTCGACCCCGAACAGAGTGGCAAACGAACCATCTGCTGCTTCTTCTTAGTGGACCCAACACTTCGCATCCGTTCCACAGCAACCGTACCGCCACAGCAAATGGCATGGTACTCTGACAAGGTCAAACCAACCCTTGGAGATGTGGGTCTCATAGAAGATGGTAGTTTAAAAAAATTGTGTCATACTTGCCCATGACAGGAATGCTCACCTACGAGGAGGCTTGTGAGCGCCGTGAGCGTCTCATGGCAGAACGAAAGGGTTTATGGACAGAAGGCGGGTTTGGGTTCATCTTTTCCCTCTGTGAGCATTAGCTGGTTGCCCTTTGTCCGCTCAGCTAGCTACCGGTACTGTACCTTTCCAGCTTTTGACAACTTGGAGAGAGTATACCATTGCCAAGCACCCACGAGACAGTGTTTTTCCACTCATTACAACAGGCTGCAGAATGCCCCCCAACCTCCTGGAACAGGACTTGATCATGGCTGCCGCCCTACAAATACTAGCCAACCATATAGCAGCTGAATCGAGACGGTGGCTGCTGCAGGCAAGGCTCTAGCCACAGTTTACATTGCCTAACAACGCAACTTCGAGAATTAGAACACTCCAGAGTAAGTAGCATCTTAGCTTGGCTAACTACTAGCTGCTAGTATGCCAACCCATAGAGACGGGTTGAAGCGACCAGAGCCAGCACAGTAGACAAATTCCCAGCCAAGAGGGCTGCCAAGTGACCCGTGCGAAGATCTTTGTGGTCTGGCTGATGACTGCCCGTACCTGCGTCCTTGGCATTATCACCACATTTATTGAGAGAGTACTGTCCCCTCTTTTCCAAACAAGCATTGACTATCCCAGCCATGGCCGACATGGGCCAACCGGCGTCGGGAGAGTCGCACTAACTGGCATCTCGCCAAGCTATTCTCAAACCTCGTTGGGCAGTGGTGGTACTACCAGTGAGAATGGTCACCGCCAGCAACAGCAAAGCGGTGCACCTTGCGGAATTAGATTGGCCAGATCGTCCGTGCGGGCCGAGAAATCCCGCGGTCCCGATATCCCACCATCGAGTCGAGTGTATTGACGACCTTAAAGCCCGAGGCTCCCAGAGGCCACAGTGCCACGTACCAAAAGAGAGGTGACACGAGACTGTCGAACAAGTTTTTCGTCCAAGGATTCCAACGTTCCTCCCGCCAAGTGCATGCGATTGCAAGGTGGATGGATCGCGACTGCAAAGCCAGGACAATTGCTTTCGGGCCGATTGCATCTGCCCATGTTGTAAAAGTGTGCCATTTGCAGTGCTAGATTCAAGAGGAGCTGCAAGTTCATGGAACCCTTGACGATAGCGATTTGTGCGAACCATGGCACCAAGGTTTGGACCAAGTTGCAGATGGATCCCAAAATGTGGTGGTACGGTTGTCGTAATGTTGGAGGAATGCTTTCGTTGCCATTTGGGAGACTGCAATCAATAGACACCAAGCGGCCGCTACAGAAATACTGACAGCGACTGCGAACAAGAGACATCCAGTAGAGAAGCCCAGGACTGGTTGTTGCTTTTCAAAACAGGATTCCGGCAAGAGTCGAAGAAACGTCATAATCACTTTGCCTACTAGCACTACGGGATGAAAGACCAGAGGTTGTAGAAACGATCACAAATAGCGAGACGGCCATCAGGACAGTGATGGATGGTGCATAGATGGATGCATATGGATCTCTGTTGTTGTCATTGTCATTGTTCTGAAGAAGGTACAAATGCAAACCAAACGCCATTGAGACTCCCGTCAATCCTATCTGCAGAACCCATCCCTGCGGTACGGGAAAGGGAATCATGGGTCGGGAAGGTACCAAGGGTTCATGGCCTCGTTGGAGGGCCCGTATCAGTGCTTGTTTGTGCTCCGACCAAGTCAGATTGGTCCATACCACGACGGCATTGGTCAGAGTACAAGTTGCTCGGTAAATGTGTTGGTTGGTAATTCTGACGAACAAATCGCACGGATTGACCATTCGACTGTTGAAGTTGGAGACTTGTGCACTGACAATGCGTCAACACTCACTCGGCTCGGACTGACGCTCGACTCGAAGAAGAGCAATGGTGGACCAAAGACGGTATAGTACCGGTACTGTACCGGTACTACATGTAGCCAGTACATGTATGTATTGGTGGCTCCTGGTGGTTGCTCCATTCATATTTTAATCCCGTATCGAGGGGTTTTCCACGGCCGGTACCGGTACATGTACCGCCGTCGCAGCCCTGTAGAGCTGAGCCGGGGTGGATCTTTCAGACGTGAGTCCAGCGGTGATCTTTTTCAACCCGTTGTTGTTGGGGAACCGAGCAACCGAGGATCATAACTTTTCAACCTGGCGATAATGAATCCTGTGATTGGCGACAAAGCGCTATTTGCTCTAGGCGGTATTCGCCCGGACACCATGGCCGAGATTGACAAGATCCGTTGCCATGTTTCCTATGCGCTCGGGCAGCTCCAGGCAAAGACGACCCAAGACCAAGACGCTCGCAAGAAGCTCCTAGCCACCCTGGAGGCATACATCGCCAGGGGGGTATTTCCTCTCAACGAGAACGACGCCGCGCCCAACCAACGCCATCCCTGCTTTGTGGACAGTGCGGGTACTCCCTGTGCTGTGGCACATCTAATGCAACAGAGCGGTGCGAAAGCCCTCGCTGACACGATTGCATCCTCTCACAAGTACGATTCGATTGCTCGAATGGTCGAGGATGAAGAGCTTTCGCCTCAAATCAAGTCTTGGGCGTTCTCGAATGGTCTAAGTGTGCGGGATCTTTCTCTCATTCAGCCAACGTATGAGTTTGTTGCAAGAGAAGCTCGTGAACTGTTCAGTAAGGTGGAATCCAAGCTCCTTGAGGCATCCTCCTCCGCTGCGTGCTTGGAGGAGGTCGAAAGAAACAAAGTGTCCAACCTCATGGTTCGGTTCGGAGACACAATGATTTCTGGATTCGGCTGGCCTGGACGCGATATCCCCGACTACCTCGAGAGGATTAAAAAGTTGGAAATCAGCGTTCCTGACGACAAGGCAGAGGTTCACGAACTCATCAAGTTGCTACGCCAAGAGGTGGAAGGTGCCAAAAGAGGAAACGGAAACAAGCGGACAACGGCAGCTGATTACGAAGGCTTTCTCTGTCCCGAGGACCTGGAGATCATGAAGGAGTCTAGAATTTCCAATCGTAGGGTGAGGCATAAGGAGTCATAATCATGTAGGGCTACCGACCAGCTCGCCCGCCCCTCCTCTTTGTTTAGCAAAGATTGGAGAAGACCTATTTGAAATAGATTAATGAACTAAGCCACAGGCACACAGCCAGCGCATGCGTCAGCTTTGTAGCGTTGCGATCAATCAGCTAGGAGACTTGGAAATTCCGAAAAGGGAATCGACGAGCATTCGATCAGAGAAGAGGACACAAGACTTCAGGCCGTTGCATCACGCTATGCAATGATCGTACAAACCAACGAGGAAAAAGACGAGGTGGAATAACAGCTGAGGCCGGTACCAGACATGGACGATGAAGAGAAGTCTAGATTTTGAATGATGCACCTTCGTACTTGCTAGGTTTCCTTCCCTCGCGACCAGTTGTGGTGCATCACTATTGCCCAGAGACAAACCCCACACTCTAACTATGATTCTCCATCAAATAAAGCTGGGAAAGCTTGTTGCAGTCTGCCCACATGCTCGGTATTGCGGAGCAATACGGGTCAGGACTGATTCACTGATTCGGTTGATGGCACAAGGGCTTGATTGGAGGGCTGGCGGT